ATATTTTTTGAATTTTTACGGAATGACTTTGACCTGGATGACTGAGAACCTTCATCAGCATAAAAAAAACTTCCTAACCCAAATTTAAACATAATTCGCATATTTGTTCTAAACCTTACAATTAGTAAAAAGCAAAGTGAGAACCAGCATAACGTCAAAGCCAAGGTGGTGCATTGTAGATGCAAGAGAGAAACAACCGAGGGTCAGATATTTGTTTTAATGCTAACAGCCATTACTAATAAAGCCAATAATAATGTATTTCTATTCACTTTATGCATTCGGACACAAACAGATTACTATATTTCCTCTTATGGATCTGTTTAAGACATAAGAGTTTAAAACACCACTAAGGACAATCGTGTTCTATGAACACCTGCGTGTAGCCCAGCGATGAGGCGTGTTGCTATGGACACTAATGAAGTTGCATTGGGCTGCCATAAAGCGGTTTGTCTAAAGACGAGAAATGAGCTGCGACACTGCTAGTGGGACTTTCTGGCTAGAGATGCAGGGAGAGACGACAGACCTTTCATAAACACTTAGATTAACATAACAGGGACTTACGGATATAGGAAGGTAAAAATGTTACATAGTGAAGCTTTAAAAAACGTATTCAGTCTTAATGCATGCTGACCTCGTCTAAACTCTGAGTTGGGAGCATAAGGGGTACCTCTACACAATGTGGGTGCAGCTGAAGGTAGAAGGAAACTCCTGAAGGGTAAGAGGAGAAAATCCAAATGGTGATCAACAATGATCCTGATCATTGTACGAGGATCAGTGTAAGAATGTGTGCGCCTTAGTTAGAGCGACTGTGTGAATGTAGTTCTAGTGTAAAGCCATAAGCGTGATCAGTGTGACTAGGAAAGTGTTACAAAAAATTCAGACCATTTACTAATTTTTTACACTTTCCATTGCACATTGACCTCATATAGCAGAACGTCACCAGTCCCTGCTAAGCTCCTGGTTTCCCTCCAGCTAAACTGTTGTTAAATTTATGAATTCACTTGTTCTTTAATGAGGCTCCATCAATGTGTCACCTCAAAAAGTGAATTCAATGTAATATTACAAGGCATTGCTTCATAAAGGTTACTGTTAAGCTTTAGTGTCACCTTTATTCCTGAACATGTTTGCCAAACAGAACGGCCTATGCAGAAGTTTGGAACAAAAAACATGCAACGCACTTTAACCCAGACACTCTTATGATATTTTACAGTATTCGTTAAAAAAGATTTTAGAGATTTTTATTTGACCTTCATCTTTATGGGCCCAATTTGCAAAAGAAAAATAAAATTCTTAATGTGATACTTTTTTTGTGCTTTGTTAGCTTCCAAACCCTGCGTTTTTGTAAACTAGATTTCTTTGTTACTAGTGGAATGTCCTTACATTTTTTATTTTTTTTTGGGATATGTTAAAAAAAAACACACACAAAAAAAAACAGTTTGTTAAAGAGAAGGTTTCAATTGGAGATCAGCTGAAAAAATAAGAATATGAGATATGTTTATAATGGAAAATGCTCTTCTTTAGTTACATAAACAGTTTATCTGCCATAGGCGTTTTATCAGGATAAAAAGTTTTTATTGGTTTTCTACTCGTCCACTTTTACCGTTTTTGTGTTTTACCCAAAACAACTGTTGGATAGAAGAACCGCAGAAAGCTTTAATAGTCAAAGGCATCCAGAAATACGCTTTCTGTATAAAAAAAAAATACATAAAAGCCTAGAAATGTACTAATTAAGGGAACTTAAAACATTAAAAAATAGCACTTTTCTTTAAAGGTTATTGAAAAAGAAAAAAAGGGCTTTAATAGTTATTTTACCAGTATGAAAAATGCGGCCTTTGTTAAAAACTAAAAAGTTTAGAAAGACTAAATATTGACATTAATGGTTCATCTCCACGGTGACGAGCAGCCAAATGCAAACAGAGTTCTAACAATGAAACTCAGCACTTCTTGTCTGACAATTTATGTGCAGTATATTTAGGTTCATTAAAATTGATATCCACCCTGAGCTTCAAGAAGCAAAGGCAGAAGAGGAAAAAAAAAAATATATATATATATATATAAAATGTTGCTCCCAAATCCCCCAGCCCTCTGAGCAACTGTGACAAAGATACAGGGCTTCCACAAGGCAAGTTAGATGCTCTAAAGAAAAGATGTGTAGAATACAAGAAAGCAAGCTTACACATGTGGGTGAAAAGTGCCTGTAATAGGAAAAATAAGAAGGGAGGAAAAGGGGGGATGAGAGGGGAAAGGATGAGAGGGCGAGAGGGGAGGATGTGGTGCCAATGGTTCATCAAAAATTAATGCCAAGCACATCGGTATAGCGATCACGTAGCAGGAAAACAACACATGCCAACAGCCTTGAGTCTCCCGCCTCAGCCCTCCCTCCTCCTGTGCCTCTTCTTTACCCTCCACCCTTCCTTTGCTCCGGCACGGGGCCTTTCTGATCAGGTGGAGGAGGGAGATATGAGCTCTGACACTTTCCAGAGTTCACACGGAGTACGCTGCCTATAATTGCAGGAAGTTCCATCAGTGTGGCCGCCGTATATCTGAGGCTCTACCCTAATTGCTGCATTTAACATCCCTAAAATGAAGATCTGAGGCACACTTTGGGTACTAATATGTGAGAGTTTTTTTTTTTGTGAGAAGCCGAATATCCCCGTCAGTGACACCTTTGTTATTTCTAGAAAAGTGAATACGACATGGGAAAAACAGAAAGTATCAGTTCAGGTTTCTATGCAACTTAAGGAGATAAAGAAAGAAGACATGATACAAAAAGCACTAAGTGTAAAACCTATTAAAATTTTTTAAAAAAGATGACTTCATAGATCTGACTGCATATGAGTAACATCCTGTTTGATGCAAATCAATTACAGTCTCCATACAGTCTGCTCTTCACTGACCAAGAAGTTACTGACTGAGCTATCATTTAGTTTTAATGATGAAATACAATCAAGGCTCGGTCCATTAAAAGGTACTAATCCTCCAAATCTAAAGCCATGTTTTCACATACCTGCTGCGTTGACTCTGCTCATGCCTTTGGGGACGTTTTCTTGCTCAGGGCTCTTTTCAGTCACCAGCAGGTTCTCACTTCTAGACAGAAAAGATTGAGAAGGAAACATTAAGTTCAACACTGAAATCAAACTCAAAATTCCTCCCAAAACACCCTTAACAGCTTAAAACAAATTCCCTGTTCCACCCCTGCTTCTATCTACATCCCCATCAGTTCTAACTAGATGTCTTCTCTGACATAAAGCCCACAGTATGATGCTGCCATCAACATGCATCACCAGAGTGCATCATTTTAGTGATTAGAGCGCCAGTCTAGCACATTCTGCCTGTACCCATTAGCAAATGTGAAGCAAAGTTGGCATGTAAGACCAGATTCATTGCACAGTAGAGTATACCATTAGCAAATTCCATCCCTCATAGCGGGGTATCCTTCTATCAAATCTGACAATAACTGTCAAACCTCTCGCTGTGTTGGCCACACACACTTTACACGTCCTAGCCTCTATTCCTGTCTCCAAAGTACTTTTCCTCCCACTTAACAACTCAAAAGCGGAGATGAAGAATTCGATGTGAGCGAGCACATTAGGGGGAAATAACTAGTAAAAGAAAGTGAAACCTCTTCAAAGTGGTGGCGTGCTAATAGCTGTGGGCTGTCACTAGTCCTGTGTGTGGGTATGGAGAATCTGTCGGCACGGAGCCTGACAGGTGTCCTGTGTGTATACGCCGGCGCACGTGCGCGAACGCCTCGCCGAAGTGGAGGTGCCATCCGTATTACAGGGAAGAAGCTTGTTCCCTGGTAATTGGGTTGTTCAGAAGCCAGGAAGGAGCTGCCAGCAGTTGAGGAGGAAACACGCTTCCTGTCACGTTGCTTGTTATTAGCAAGGACAGGGATGAGAACAGATGAGACAAGCTGCGTGTGTGTGTGAATGAGAGGGAGACTCCATAATGTGGTCTATGATGAGGGTCTACCGTTCTTCATCTCCACCCCCACCCCCCACCCCATCCTAACTGCCATTCCCAAGTGCCCCTCTGTCCACATCAGCTGGAGGCAGAAGGTGCTGTTCTGGGATTGGGTTTCCATTTTAGGAAGTAAGCACGCTTCTAGTTGTACAGTTATCAGATCTGGAGCAGGGAGTGTTTTAGGATGCAGATATCCAACTAGAAATCTGAGCAAAGAGTAAAGGTGGAAGTGAAGCTTCCAGCGCTGCTTTTTTTCTTTTCGGAAAAAGATGTGCAGTACTGCAAACAGATGGAGAGGAGGATTGTTTTATGATGGACTAACAGATTCATGGATGGACGTTTTAAAAGATGGGATGAGGAAAACAGATTGAAACTTCAAATAATTTTTAAACTCTATTTTTATTTTCACAAACCTTAAAAATTACAATAAAATTCAACAATAATCCAGGCGTGAGGATTTTAATGCGGGAAAATGTAATGTAGATTCACTCCAGTTAATTTTGGATCTGCTCCAAGTCTCCTAGTGGGACGATCCAGAAATGCCCCTGAAGAAAGGCGACCATGAGGCTGCTAGATCACATATCCAAACAATCTCCGATTAAAGCCTTTAACACGTAGCAGCGGTGGCTATACTCCAAAATCTGAGGCTTTACTCCACAAGGTGGAGCTTGAGACCTTATCACTAATGCCCAAGACCATGCTCATCCATTCCATGGTGGAAATATTTTTTTTAAAGAATTTAAATCATTTTATCTGAGTTCTTGAAAAAACACTTAAATATACCTACAAAGTGGATAAAGATTTTTCAAACTGGAAATTATTTATTTTCCCTTCAAATTTCTAAACAATTCTGATGACAAAAATTATAATCAATCTAAAATTACTGAAAAGTATTTAAGATGGATTTTCTTTTTATGTTGTAAAAAAAAAAACTGAAAACCTATAATTTTGCTTTTATATCAACTAAATGAAAAAGTCACAAAATCCAGGGATAATAAGAAAAAAAAACATTTGAACATCACCAAAAAGTAGATATTTCAAATTTTTTTTGCATAGAACTGGACATGGATGTTGAATGAAATCCTGCTGTCAGGTTCTTTAAAGGACACCAGCACCTGAGCAACGCATGAGGCCAGATTAAAGCAGCAGGAGGTTTATCTCGGTTTAATTACAGCTTCCCTTCTGCTAACAGTATTCAGCGCAAGTTAAACGGTCATCCAAACAGTCGGTCAATCAGTCGCCCTGTCAGCCTGCTGCAGCTTGGACACCTGCCCTCACTGCGACTCCTCTGCTGGAGGGGAAGGAAGCGTCCGCCATCTCTCATATGTATAACCCTCCCTCACACACGCACAAAAAGACTTATGTCCTCCATCATTCAGATGTTAAAGGGAAGCGGGTTACATTTCGCTTTAAAAAACATATTTTTTATATCAATAAACAAGCAGGATTTTGTTGCAGAGCCACCTAAAGTTTTGCATCTGAGTTTAACAAAATGCGACATATTTTAAGGTCTATAATATCTATTTTGTAATCTGAGGCATTTATTATGGAAGACTTTAAGAATTTAAGTATTTCCAGCTGTGCAAACATAGAAGGTCGAGTTTCAGAAAAGTGCCTAACTTAATAAATGCCTCAACATAAGATGTGTTAATTGATTGGAAATGCCAAGATCAATGAAATTATGAACAATATCATGAATTCAAGCATGGAAAATGAGGAAACAAGATTTGCTTTTTGCTTTCTGTCTGTAATTTATCACAGGCTTTGTCATTGTAACTCCATTCTTTCTTTTGGGGTCAAATGATTTTACATGCCCTTTGGCATTTCTTTATCTCCTCCACACAGGCTGCGTTCTGCGTTTCGCTCAGTTCCGCTCATGCATGTGTCAAGATTAACTAAAAGCAGTAAAAGTGCAAGAAAAGCAGGAAGGGTAGAAGAAACGGAGAGGGAGGGAGATTTGGTCAGTTCATGAACCAGTAGCCTTCAAATGAACCTGCTCCCTGGTGACTCCTGCTTTACTCTGGGCCAACTACCTGCTGGTGAAACAGCAGATGTCTGATATTGGTAAAAGAGGGGAGAGAGAGTGTGCGCGGGAGTGATTGCATCAAGAGGAGGGATTTAATATGCAAGGATAGATCGAAAAGGTGGGGAAGGAGTGCGAGGGCGGAGAAGAGAAAACCCTGATGGGATGCCTCAGTCTATCTGTTGAGTCCCTGTCCAAATCATGGCAGTCTGGGTGTGTGTGTGTGTGTCTTTCACCTCCCTGTGTGCCCCTCCTGTCAGCAAGCAAACACTGATAATATCAGACCTGGGCATGACCCATCACATGCCAGCTCCTCACGCTCCATCTGACTTTTACTCGCCTGTCTCCAGATTTCCCAAAGCCCCCACCACAGCCCCCCAACCCTCCTATAAATTCATGCATCTCTGCTCTTCACCTCATCACGCTCCTCCTCCCTCCAGGTGTTCCTTTGTTTCATTTTGCACTCAAGTTTCCCCGTCACATCTTTACTTTTCCACCCGTTTCTTTTGTTAAAGGACAGAGGCAGGTGGAGGTCTGTTATTTCAGACTCACTGAACCACACAAAGACGATGAGCGATGCAAACATCTCGCCCCAATGGGCAAATGGAGGTTCTGTTTCTGTAACATAAGTGCAGCCACTATTTCAAACTCATATTTTACTCATATGCGCTCCGTTTTAGGCTTTTTTCAAGAACGCACATCAAGATTTACGGACGGGCTGAATGACTCACCTGCTGGTGCAGCTGTGGGAAGTTTTTCCAGTTATGATGTGGGAAGCGAAGCTGGGACTCTGAGCAAAGGTTCCCAGAGCCGGCAGGTACGAACAGACCTGTCAGAAGTCAAACGGACACGAAGGAGGTTGGACAGAATACCCAGACTGTGAGTGGATGGAAGCATCCTTATGAAACTGAGAGGGAATCATGACCAGATGTTGTATTGCAACCTTTGATCCGAACAGATGCGTCATACAGAATAAAACTACTTTCTAAGAAGAATTTCAGATTTAGCCCTGAGAAAGAAAACCCCCAGATAACAAGGCATTAACTCAATACGCTCTAGATCCACTTAATTTGATCACCTCGGGTAAAAATGCCAGTTTCACCATTTTATGGTGTTTACTCCAAATAAAAAAGAATAATAAGTATCGAAACATCTGAATGCTTTTATTCCGAACAGAAAAACAACAATTATTTCTACTGCTGCTAAAAATTCACAACCGTTATAAAAGTTTGGCATTCAAAAACATTTAAACAACAAAACTCTGAAAAACAAAAACTGATTAAATAGTCGAGTCGCCAGCTTGCAGGCGGCTGCTAAACAGAGAGCTGTTCATAGTTTTCCGCCTGTAGTTTCTGAACAAAATAAATCAGCTTAAGGAGTATGAAGTGAAACTTTTTAGACCTTCAGACCGAGACTGTCCTTATTTTGCCATCCCCAATTATTTCCAAACAAACAAGTTTGTCGTTTTATAAAAGCAGATGAAGCAAAGTGGAAGCCTACTGTGAAGCACCTGACAGGCAGTGTGCAGCAGCAGTTAGGGGGAAAGCAGCTCTAAGGTAGTCTACACCTCCCAGAGAGAATTCTGGTCACTCCAGCATTTTAAACCATAGGAGCAATAGAAACAAACACTGTCACATAAAAAAATTTAATTTTAACTTGGTGGAATTTGATTCTGCTAAACAGATTGTAAATTTCGATAAGTTGTATAATCATAAGAATAAACTAATCTTTTAAAGTTAAGGGATTAACTATAAGGAAACCTATAAATTGCTCCTATTAAAGATCTGTTAACATTTAACAATAAAAAAACTTTCAGAACAGCATAAAAATATGACAAAGTGTCAGCTAAATGCCTTGCATGGAAAAAGCTCATGTATAGAAAAGTTTTCACAAATACTAGATATTCCATTTCTAATGCAATCTGCATGGATAGAATATTTGCAAAAAAAAAATAATAAAAAAAAATGCATAAAAAAACAACTTGTTATTTTACTGGGTCTGACTGCTACCGTCTCTGTAGATGCTCTGGAATGAAAACGTCATTCATCTAAAGTTAACAGCATGATTGTGGAACCACCTGCATCAGACAGAATCCAAAACGAATGGAACAAACACTGCCGTCATTAAAACGTACCACTTTTTTGAGAGAAAGAGGTTCATCTCCAACAGCAAACCCATTTCTGTAGCAGAGATTCCTAAAGATGGCATCCGCTATGCCCAACTTTAGCCTGGAAGAGCGAACTTTGGAAACCAGCTCTACCAGAACAGCTGGAGGCAAATCTAAAGGGGAAAATACAAAAGGAACATGTCTGGTCACCTAAAAAAACATGTTTTGTGGATGAGGATATTTAAAACAAATCACTAAATACATGACACACTGCATTCAGCAACAGAGTTCCGATACAGAACTGTGTTTTTCACGAGCTACATTTACACAACAATACTACATTTTTTGAATCTAATGGAAATATCTAGACTCCAAAGACACAGAATGCATTTTTCTTTCCATACATACCCTGACTAACAACAGCAAGGTGCTCTGACAGGTCTTTGAGGCCCTTTTCAACCAGGCTCTGATTCAGCTTAAAGTGCTGCTGACACCAAAACTCCACCAACACAGACAGAAGGTCCAACAGAGTGTCTGCTAAATAAAGCTCCTGCTTCTCTCCCCCCTCAGCAAAGTCCTGCAGTAAGAATAAACATTATGCCAATGATAAGAGAGAGCGCTGTGAAAAACAGCTAGACCAGGACACTTTAAGTGGTGCGTTAGATTGAATGATTTTACCACAATAGCAGCTTCTGTTAGGAGCTGAAGGAGTTTCTTCACAGTGCGGGACAACAACGTGGTCCGTTCCCACACCGTCCAGAAGGTTCCATAAAGCAAAGAACCCGAAGATGATGCAGACGGGGCTGGTGCTTGGTGAGGGAATACAAAGTCTCTGATGAAAAAACAAAAACACAAAAACGTGGTTATGGGTGCACCTTAAAAGATAACATCAAGGGAAGAATTATTTACTATTTGCAAATAAAATTCTAAAAGAAGATTCATGTAATCAATAGATTTGGTGCTGTAACGCCACGATTTCCCCATTGTGGGACGATAAAGGGATTTTATATTCGGTTCTATTCTTTTAAACATAACATAAAAATTTTAAGAAAATATCTCAGTTCTGATTGAGATATCTGAACCCCAAATTCTGTTTCTCAGACATCAGCTAAAACATTTTTAAAGCAGAAAAGCAAAGATATATTTCTGTTATGCACTACAGCAGTCCAGTCTTTTTCTATTCTTTCTTTTTTGCCCATTCCTGATGCTTTTGACATTTTCTCTGTTCAGGACAGATTTCATGCAGAGAAGGAATATGACAGTGTTTGCCCAGGTCCTGCATATGTATGTTATGGTTAATAAAGAACTGGCTCTAAAACGCTCCATCTTGCTTTACAGCCTGCAGTTAATTCTGATGGCTGTGCAGCTTTTTTTTTTTTTTGCACATTTTATTCGTCCACTAAACTTTCCGATATTATGCTTGGATACTAAGATCAGCAGGATTACTTGCTGGACAACTGTGAATTTAGCATTCTTCCCTATGATTATGTGGGTTTTGCACAATATTTCACTTTGGGAAGCTCAATTAATTGTGAGGCAAAAGTAATTGGAAAAACGTATTGTTAAATTTACACTTTTGTTGCATAAGTGCGTTATATAATAAGTTAGATATAGTTTCGATTTTAACTTAAACTACCAAATTAGATTTATATGTTTTAAAGATGTTTTTAAGATTTAACTTTGACATCGTAGAATTGAAAGTGACGTTCAAAGATTTCTTTCTTAATGTTATACATACAGTATGGGACGCTGTCTAAAATGTTTAAAGATGTTATTCAAATACAGTAAAAGAAAAACAACAAAAAAATAAATAAATGAGTGTTTTTATTATCAAGCGGTTACCTGCTGCTGATGGAGTAGAGTTCACCCTTGAAAAGCTTGAGGCAAAATGAGATGATGTCATAGTAGAAATGCACCAAGGTTGGCATGGCGGGTCCAGGGTGTGGGTGACAGGTGTCGCTGCTTGTCAGGCAGTATCTTTTGATCACATATGTGAATATAAAATGATCTTTCACATTAGATTATTGCATAAATACCAAGGCTGCTTGATGTCTGACAAAGTAAAATAAGAATATTGCCGTTTCAGAATAAAAGGGAAGAAATATACCCAAAGAATTCTACTTTTTACTTGGACTGTACCTGATGGCTGTCTCTAGAAGAGGCCACAAACCCGTCTTGCACTGAGGACACTGCAGCACTTGGCCGTAGTATTTTTTCACAGCAATGGGAGCCAGCCAAGGAGGATTGGTGATGAGCAGGTTTTCCATAGCCTGACGGAAATTTCTCAGGAACAGGGACGTGGCGTTACCCTACCCAATGTAAACACGACAGGAGACTTTTGGACTAGATCATGTATCATCATAAACTGAATCATACAATACTGCAAAATTAACTAGCTTCTGATCTTAACATAACAGTAAATTTTATCTTGACTTTTCTTACCGTCAAGTTTAAAAAATGATGAAATTGTTGAGTCAATCAAAATTAAAGGTACAAAACATAAAGGACTTCTCCTTTTACCCATCTATCAACATCTGCACGTCTTGTGTAACCAGAGATCTATTTGTACAGCCCTTCAGGCTCACAAAGCAGCAGGTGGGAATTGCTGCAGTCAGGTAACTCCAGTCCTACCTGCTGTGCGTACTCCAAGAGGGAGATCAGGTACGCCGCTGGTGGCAACAGGCCTGGAAACACAGCGCTTCTGATTGAGTCCAAGGCCTCGCTGAATAGGCCGCACTCTATCATCCTATCAACGTTGCTCACGTCGGCTACAATTGTCTGGAGGAATAACAGAACAATGGTGAAACGGAAGAAGCATGAGGGAAGAAGGGGAGAAAAAACATGGCACTCAAACAGACGGATAGTTGAAAGAAGAGAAGCGAGGGGGCAGGAGGGTAATCGAAATAAGTCGTGAGTTGGCATCAGTTCCTGAGGGTCATTTCTAACCATCGCTTATTGGCAAATAGCATATGGACTCCGAACATCCAGAATGGAAATACAAGAGCAGTCCTAATAGCAATCTGACAGGCATCCACTTGGGTAAAGTATGGACAGGACGGTGGAGAGTATTGTTAATAGGTCTGCCAATCACAGCTCTCAGATCAGTTGAGAGAGGTGGTTAAATCAGTGACCTGGTTTTGATGCGCCCTTGCACTTGATGTCACTTTCCATTGAAATGTATGACATAAAGGAAATTGAATGACCTGATCTGCCTGATGAAACACAGATTTAGCCCATAGATGAATGTATAGCAGTGATCGTGGCTGGGGGTTGATATGTATGCACATCTACCTGTGTGTGGGGACGATAAGGGTCACGGTAACCTAGAAATTCAAGGAAGGGCAGTCTGGGGCGTCCCTGCAGGGAGAAAGCGCATTAAAAATGTTAAGAAAGAACTGGCAAACAAGGTCAATTAAGTGAGCAGAATGTAGAAAATAGAACGTTTCACAAATCCTGTTGAAATCTGAACAATGTTGCTTCTCTAGAGCAAGTTGCAAAAATAAACACACCTCTTTTTTGACAGCAAAGCTTCTAAGTTCTGCCTCCAAATCAGAGAAGCCATCAAGAAAACCAGTTTTCCTGGTGGACTGATAATCCTCGGGGGCGTTACAACTCAGACCCATGTGATCGTTCTGTCAAACAAGAAAGGCAACATACCGAGTCAATCATTTAATAATAACAACTAATTCTTTTATAGTAAAATGCTATTGTCTAATTCACACATGTCAAACTCGAGAGCCGCGGGCCAAATCTGGCACCTCGTGGAAAAGTATCGGGCCTGAAAAGTAAAAAAAAAATGTAAAGCTGAGAGGAATCGATTTGTAGCTTTATTACAGAGCTACTAGGATCTGGCAACGCAGGATCAGCACCTTGTAGAAATATCTTTATGTAAAAATCTTTTCAGATAAGTATCCATCAGATTTTTACATCTGGAGGCGGAGATCTTTGCCAGTTTATCTTTGCAAATCAACAAAAAACATCAGTCACACTGGATTTATATCGTTTTTGTGAACAATATTTTCAAGTCTTACAAGAGACGCTCTGTCCAATTTATGTCTGAACTCTACCTGGGTCAGTTTCACACGTCAGTGCTTCCATATTAACTCTGTAACTTTTGCATAACTTCTCAGAGATGTAGTTCTAAACCTTCCCTTTTTCTTACCACAGACTTTCTACTTTATAATTTCACCAATTTATCTTCTTAATTCTAAACAGCTTCCCTGTCTCAGCATTCCCACAGCATTAAGCAGCAACTGACATGCTTCTTGCTAGGAATAACAGCGTCCAACTTTGGTCTCACCTAACCTGAACACTGCACTGTCTGCATCACTCAGTGTGTTCCTTTAAATAACTCCACAAACTTGTTATTGTTGAAAAAAGGTCAGATTTCCTTCATGTGTATTTAACACACTATATTTCCAGAGGAATCCACTCATCGGCTTCGACTCATATGAATATAGGTGATATTTCATTCCTAATCCATGGACAGGAAAGGACTTCCTCTCACTACCGGTTGCTTCCACTTTGTTATAAACTCTGCTAACTGCAGATAGTTGAACATTTAGGAGGACTTCACTGAGTTTCTGAGCCATACCTTCACAAACGCTGGTCGTAACACTCCATGTTCCTAAGAATTTAATTCCCTACACCTGTGGCAACTTAAGTGAGCTGTAATAACTTTTAAATCAATTGTGCCAGCATTTCCGTTTTCAATGATGAATTATTTAATGCTCAGCAAAAAAAATTTTTTTCAGTTTTTTTATTGTCATTACTAGGACTGGGTAAAAAAATCGATTTAATCAATTTTGAATCGATTCCTTTACATTTTTGCAAAAATCGATGTGTAGGGAATGAGATCGATTAGTTTTATTGTGACGCGCGTGACGTTCGCATTTAAATGAGCAGGCGTGTGCCAATGCCGACCCAAGTAACACACCACTCACCAAGTTGTCCCAACTGACGTCTGATGTCTGGAACCATTTTGGATTTGAAACAGCTAAAGATAATGTGCTGGATATGTGACATTAAGGTGACTTCCCACTAAATAGTGGCTAAATACCCAATAGGTTGACTGAAGGCATTAACAAATGGGGTTTGAACAGCAAACACCCTGTAGTTGTTACAGAACACTGCAAATATGGTTTGTACAGTGGAGATAATGCAGCTCATGAATGTCTGCTGTTTCCCTGCTGGGTCACGCCTGCTTGCTTGAGTGAGGATTAACTTTTTCACTTTTCACAAACAAGTTTGCACTTTTTAGACAGCTTTGTTCACATCTCAAGTTTAAACTGTCTGATTTACAAGTTTGCACTTTGTGTTTAATATGACAGGAAAAATTAAAATACATGAGTATTTTGAAACACAGTTGAACAACTTTCATTATTGTAAAAACAGATCGAATCGAAATTCATCGATTTAGAACTCCTAGTCATTACATTGTCACAAGTACAGAAAAACAAAATTAACCCATTTAACCCATCCCCTTGGGGAGCAGTGGGCTGCAATTGTGCGGTGCCCGGGGAGCAGTGTGGGGTTAAGGGTCTTTGCTCAGGGAGCCAGAGTGGCAGTCCGTGGGAGTGGGGCTTGAACTCAGAACCTCTGGATTCCAAGTGCAATACCCTAACCATTAGGCCGTCACTCCCCTAAATCTTTAATAAACAAACTCTGATAATCAACATCTTTCCCTCTGACCTGATTGGTAGTTATGCTGCAGCCCTATAGGTGGCTCCGATATCAGTTCAGATATTGACTAATTAGCCGATCCAGCTTTCTGATCCGGTAATTTCTGGTGTCACTGATATCATAAACATCAATAAACTTATATGGATCTAATGACTTCATTTGTAAGATTGAAATGCTGATGACATCATCAAGCAAAGCGTACACAGCAGCTAGTGATGATTTAACCTGTGTTATTTTTTCATTACTTTTTTTTAACAGTGCTTGTGTCACATAAGATGCCTTTAACCACATGGCGAGGTATACAGTTAACTCGTTCAACAGTAGCGGTATCGGCTAATACGCCTGGTCCATGTATTGGTATAAAATGGATCAGTGCATGTCTACTCTCTAGTGCACGTCTTGCTTTTTATTTAGCTTTGTGGTTAGCCAATATTCCCTAAAAGATACCCTGAGGACTTAAAGGTAAATCTATGAAAACTAAATATAAAATAATTTTTTTGAAAAGTTCAAGGTGAATAAGTACCCTAGAAAGATCAGAATTATATGTTTAACTTACCCCAAAGAGGTGTTGGACGATGTGGCTCACAGGGTAACAAGGTGCATTTTGGGATTTTGATTTCTCCGTAACAGGCTTTGCTATGACATGACTGATGGAAGTGTATGTAGGAGGAGGGGAGTTGTACACCTCTGCTCTGCCAGCTTTCAGCAGCCTAGATGATAAAAAATGTCATTAATACGTGAGTTTTTGGTGGGGGATTTATATCTAGGTGGAATCTCACCGTTTGAACATGGCTCTTCTAGAGGGCTGTTGGACCATGAGTAGAACTCTCCAACCCTGGAAAGCCCCCGTAATTCTACCTTTGGTCACCTTTTCCCTCCACTGTCTGACGGGGTGAAAAGCAGCTGAGGAGTTGGTGAAAATAGCCACTTCATAGGGCCCCTCAGGCAGCCAGGAGCCATTCTTCACGCTTTCCAACACGTAGTTAGGAGTCACAACCCACTTGCCTGGAGGTAGAAGTAAAACCACTTAGTGTTCAGGAGTAGAATGGATAACAATAAACCAGCTTTTTAGATATAGAAAATAACAATATCGTTTTAAGACATCATTGATTATCCAATAATAATCGTAAGAACCGACCTGCTGCACAAGCTGCAAAGAACTTCTCACTGGACAAAACCTGGGGGACTATGAGATGAGTGGTGCAGTAATTATATATCTGGAAAATATACATGAGAAGAGTCAAATAATTAGGATGACTAATGAAAGGTCAAAGAAAATGTGTTTCTTCAGGTACAAATTGTTGAAAAAATTAGCTAGAAAGTACAGGTAAAAATATTATTCAAGAATTATAAAAGACCCATAACAGTGTTAGATTAAGTTGCACATTTATTTAATTGTACTTCAGTCAGGAAGGAAGGAAGGAAGGAAGGAAGGAAACAAAGAAAGAAAAAGAGAGAAAGAAAAAAAAGAAATAAGACAGACAGACATTATTAATCCCAAGCTGGAAAATTGCAGTGTAGCCGCATCTGTCTCAGGGAACAAACACCAATGTAAAGCACGCTTATTATTTATATATAATAGTTTTTAAAATACTACAGTTGCATACAATAGTAAATATACTTCTCATTATTCTGGCAGAGGGTCTAATTTAGTCGGATTCCAAAGAACTCACGTAGAGTACAGAGCTCAAAATGATCTGTTCTCTAGAAACACTCAAAAGAAAATAAGGAAAATATAGTAAATATTTCTGCCCCCTAGTTAAGACTTTCTGACAATTTAGATTTTGTGGTCAATATACTTTAATAATTGCTGACTAATTCTTAAAGGTTTGGATCGATAAATGTTTTGTTTGGCTTCTCCTTTGGACATATGTCAAATAAAATAATGAAAAAAGGCATGTGTGCAGATTGGTATGAAAACAATGTTGATGTTTCGGAATAAATAAAACCCTTCCACATAATTTTAAACTTTTACCAAGAAAATGATGTGGATCATGTAATCATAACACTGTACTTATGCCTAATGAAGCAGATCATTTTTTAAACAATATATGTCAGTGAATTTGGCGATATCGAGGATTTGTTTTGAATGTAGTCCTTAGCAAAAGGATCTGAACTGCATGATCATCAGTGAATATTTGGAACTTCTTAAAATGTTTTAACCTTATTGGTTAAACATGAAGCTACAATCGCAAAAGATCCGGCAACATCTGTAATGGTTTCGACGTTATTCAAAACTCTGCAGATTAGTTACAGTAAATTTACAGCCTTTGTGACAAAGATATCCATCAGTAAATAAAGCATCTAGTATTTTCATATTTCTATGCACTTACATTTATATGTAATGTCACAGAAAGCAGTGTCTTTTAATACAGTTCAAAACTTTTTAGGAACAACACCTTCACAAAGATGTGGGAAAAAATATAAATGATCCTTTTTATTATTGAAAAACAAAGTATTTTGCAAAATAAGTCAGATAATTTAGATGATAATTTTGAAGCCTATAAAACAAATGAAGAACCTTCAGTAACCTTGAAAAGCAGAAGCTGAGTTTTGTAGATGGTTTTCAAGTGGTTGGAGGGAAAATGGACGATTAAAGGTGTAGTGGAGGATGTTCTTTTTCTGGGTGGATCATCAAAATAAGTGGTCCTCCTAATTGTCAAGCATTTTGGTGATATGTTTAAGTAAGGCCGTCCTACGTGCTTGTCCCCTTCACTTAGTGGTGAGTCTGACATAGTGGAAAAATTGCAAATCTTCTTTTAGAAAGTAAGCTTGAGCGATGCAAACAGCAGCTTTTAAACAGAGCGTGCACGAGGGCTCATGCTTGCTCTAGCATGTGTTTAGCAGGCGTTCCCTCTAGGGAACGAGTACAGGGTTGTGCATGTGCATTTTTTTAAAGTGAAGAGGGCGGGTCTTTACAAAAATTTGCAAGAATCCGCCACGATGCCTTTAATGAATCCAAACATGCATAATCCCTTCATTTTAAAGGATGAGCTGAATGAGAAATGCTACTTTAGAAATGAATTTCCACATTTCTGTCAGGTATTAGCAATATTTGATATAAGGCAACCTGTAGTGTTTTTTTTGCACCTGGGGTTATTCATGTATGTTAGCAGAAGCCTGGTGAAAATAAGCAACTTTTAAAAACAGAGGTAACGGTGTAAAAAAAGGAGAATTAGAATAGAAAATCCCTTTATTGTCCCACAATGAGGAAATGTAGTTGTAACAGCAGCAAAGCAACAGGCAATATTAAAAAAGGTCACACAGGTATAGACAAAAAATGTATATGTATAAAAAAACTGAATAAAGTGAAAAAAGGTTAAAAATATAAGTGCTGTACAGCAGAAAGGTGTTCTGAAAACATAGTGTAGTCAGTAAAAGAAGGATAAATAACCAATACAATAAGAAATAGCAACAATGGTGAAGATGTGCAAAATGTCGGCAGCAAGTTATTTAAAATGACTGAGAAAGGAACTGTGCAAAAATGTTCTTGAATCTTACATCTTTGAATTACCAAATAAAAAAAACAAACAAACATGTAATTCTGCAACATAATCATAAAAATATCAACTTACTGAACCTCCAAGGTATTTTCCACCCAGCTGATAGATGCCCTTAATCAAAGATCTCTTCTTGTCCCTGGCTTTGATGCCAGAGATCTGGAAAACATGGCGGCAGCTCTCCATCCTGAAAAACACACAGGCAGAAAATAAAATTATAACGTAATTATAATTAATGAATTATATTTTCTGAAGGATATCCTGCTGTTACACTTAAAATTTCTACCTAAATGGCTTATTGTGACACCAAACAAGGGAGGCCAAACATATATGGAGCTGGGCTTTTTAAATGGCTGGATCTTTTCAATTAGCCTGTTTTCTAAGACAAAACAAGGCTTTGTTTTTGGTCCACTCTATAAAGCCTCGAACTCAACACTATTTCTGACATTTTGAATTGAAAAAGCTTCATGGATGGGCAGTGAAACATCTTCAAACTTGGAAACAAAGTCCAGTGGATTGTTTGTTTAGCTTTTTAGGAATGGCTTTTTAATGCTTTTCTACTTTGGGAGAACTATTAATGAGGAAAGAGAGAGTGCCTTCTAGCAAACTTCTATTAAATAACCCAAGCAGTTAGGTTGAAGGCTAAATGCAGGTGTATCTGTGAGGAATGTTGCCTCACAGCTAAACTGTTCTGAGTTTGGGTGGCATCTCCAAAAGTACACCAAACTACTTTCAAATGCCCTTTACTGTGGGTGTGAGCAAGCTTGGTTGTTTGGACCGGTGTCCAGTTAGCATGTCACCAGTGGCATGACATTGAATCAAGCTGTGTTGAATCAAGGCAACATTAGAGCATTGTGCTTGGGTCCCAGGTGTTCTGAGTTCAGCTCCCACAGACTGCCACTCTGGGTCCTTGAGCCAGACCCTTAACAACACACTGCTCCCCGGGCGCTGCATAATGGCAGCCCACTGCTCCCCAAAAGGATGGGTTAAATGCATAGGTGAATTTCTCCATTCTGAAATCAATAAAATTCTTTAATTACTGTAAACTAAGCAGGATACCTCCCATTTACAGTAGGACTAGATTTGGAAACTACTGCTTTAAGGATTTTATGGATCAGAAAAAAGACAATCTCCTTATAGAAAATAACATCAGAGCATAAGTATAAGTTCTTTTTAAAGAGAGCTTTAGTTAAACCTTCTAAGAAAGACAAAATACATCCAAACAATCTCACTAAAGTATCTTCTGTTACACCTTTACTGTCAAGCACTGTTGGCATTTTGCAGAGCAGGACAAGTTTCGTGAACTTGTTTAACTTGTCCAAACAGCTTATGCTTTCCAACTCTAGTGTAACATGACTCTAAAACTACAAACCGTTCTTGTGGGTCTGGCAATGACATTCACCCAAAAAGTCCCTATTTTATTTTTCACTTTATATCATACAAATTAATTTTTTGTTTTAAGTTAAGTGAGGTACTCTGTTAAAGGTCCTACAAACATTCATGTCAAAATTCAACACTTTTCTAACATTTCTAGATGTCAGTCAAATTTTTGTTTGGGTTCACAGTCGCTTTAAGTATCTTAAAACCTAAAAGGATCATATGAGTTGGACAAGAAAGTATTTGTTTTATAAATTTATGAAATCATATATAAAATCTGTGAAAAAAAAAGTACTTTTTTTTAGCAGATATTTACAATCACATTAAGCAGTGAATAGTCCAGAGACCAGAAACAGATTTATTTTCAATTTATTGCTTTCTCCCATTAATAAGTCAGAAAGCAAGATCCAAAAACAGAAAAAAAAACAGCTAAGTCTTCTTCTAAACTTGTTTGTTTTTTGCACCAAATCTCTGCAAACTGTTTTAGTCTCTTTGTACCAATATGTCACAACATACAATGTTGTAATCTGTTTCCTTTTTTGATTGCTAACGCCCACATATATTAACAACTCCATCAAAAATATGTCTCCTACCTTTGAAACATTCATTGTTTGTTGCGTAAATCGTGTAATTGTGCTTTTATTCGTCTTTTTTCGTGTCAGTTATGAACCTGCGTCTAGTTTTGAATGACAAACATCCGATTCAACATTTTTAGGGTGTATTACTATTTTTATCCCGGATCTCAAACAATACCTTAATCTATACAGTGGATATTTATGAGTATTTACATGCGTATTATCAGAAATCAGTGGTATTAAACAGATACCTTCCTCATGCAAGTGACGATGACTTCCAATCGCATCCAGGCGCGCCAAAACTCTGACAGTAAACAAACACCCACAATAACAGCCGTTACTGCACTGATGATCCCTCTAACAATGTATTCAACACTGCCATTAAAAAAAATATTCGCATTAACTGTGTACAGTATTGTAAAGAAGTCCAATATTTATACTTTGGGCCGATTTCTCTCCCCGGATGGAAAAAAAAGAGAAAAAGCCACAAGATGGCAAATTTATCATAAAAGGGGGGATATTTATCTACACACGCGTTTTGTTTTTTTCAAATATACTTTTAAGCTATCGATTCTTCAAATAAATATTATATAATACACACTGATTATGATATTTTGTTAATAAGATTCTTTTTATATTGATATTTTAGTTTTCGAGTTAATAAAATAGCGAGTTCCCCATTTAAGCTAGTTACATGGTACGTCCCGTTAAGCGGAAGTCTTTTCATAGTTACTTCCGGGTTGTTGTCACGGACGCTTTCGGCTTACGGAAGTATTCATTACAACAGGATTATCGTAGTGCTTGAATAACGGGTAGCCTTTATTTCAGCTCTTCAGTCCCTGGAAAGATTCAGCAGATTTATCCCACAGAGATGCGAAGGCAGTTGGTTGTTACCGAACCATAAAGCTATTTAAAACTGTAATGATTGCGGGTTTGTTGTAAGGAAAAGAAATGATACATAGCGACAAATCCAATGTCTTCATTTACTCTTTTTGTGGTATTTTTAAATTCCAATCGCGGATCAGTATCTACTGGAAGTGACTGTAGATGATGCGTCCCTCTCTTGTGGAGGATTAACTCGGACTGGATTTAAAAGGAATTTGGAAGAGGTAAAACACTAACAAGCAAAACACTGAAGCTGTAACTTCTGATCTTACGATTGGAGAAATGCATGTATATAAATAAATATGAGCTTTTAATGATTGATTCCCGGTGTTTGTTCAAATTACGGATCTGATGCTAAATCCGCGGTGGGACAAATCCGGTTTTTCTTGAGCGCTGTGATCTGAAAGCTTTGTGTCACTCCAAGCTGCTGGCTGTCAACAAGTCTGCTGCTGACGTGCACGCGCGCTACTTAAAGGGAGCGATCAGGCACGAGCTTCAAACCAAACTGAGTAAACTCTGAAGCTGAAACCTTGATATGTAACAGTCCATCTGATAAATCCTACTCTATTGGTATTTGATTATACAGTTTTTGTTGTTGTCTTGGTTAGGCAATATTAGGTTTCCATAAAATCTGTTTTATTGTTAAAAAAGCATCATTTTTGTTATTAAATGTGTTGGAGGCAGGAATGAAATTATGAAAAGTTATGAATTTGAATGGGTTTAATAGGGGTCATTTGTGATATCTAAGATCTGGAGACAGAGATGCAGCCTGAAAATTTGTATAAGGGTGGCCATGAAATAACCAATGTAAACTGAGGAGTGGCCAAAAGTGGATAGGCGCCAAAACAAAACCTCAGAGTCACTCTACACTGTTCCAACAGGAACAAGCACAACTTTCACATTTCTAAATAAAGACAAACTAGTTTCCTACAGCCTTTGCTAACAAATAGAGGCATATTTTTAAACATCTGTCTAGATAATAGCAGTATTGCATCAAATTTTTTGTGGTTTGAGTTCTGGAGCGAACATCTTTTCCATTGTCGTCACTTACCTACTTGTATCAATATAATTCTACATTAAATTGATATTTATAAGTACTGATATCTACATAAATTGATAATTTAATAGGGTTTTATTAAAACACTTATTTACAGTATCCATAATTTCACTGAAGACTCTTAGATGACTTGCAGAGACGCATCATTTTCTCTTTACGGCATATAACTCAAAATCATCTCTAATGTTGGTATACTGATGTGCATAATTAACTACAGTGGGTTTTTTTGACGAGTAATTATTAATATATATAAAATTAATTGTTTTGAATATTCTACTTGAGAGACAAAAATGGTAGGGGTGACCACAGGGGTGGCCAATGATTGGCTAAGGGTGGCCATGGCCAACCCTGGCCCCCCATCTAGCTCCGCCCCTGTCTGGAGACACCAGGAGGCTCATTGATGAAGGTCTGGATCAAATACTGCTGGTTGGAGTCAATAGACAAATTAAAGCAGCTCAAATTGCTAAGGATGGTGATGCTGGTTCTGATAGATAAATGTATTTTTACACAAAGGATCTCAGTTGATCCATATACTTGACCAATAGAAGAAGTTTGTGCCTGTTAATTAATTAATGCTCCATACAGCGTAGCTGGACCGATATGATGGATCAGGAATCTATAAAGAATGAGGGGTTTTATGCTGTTATATAATTATATAAATGTGCAGCACCAGCTCTTTTTGAAATCAGAATAAATTCTTATTCCTGACCTGCAACCTTTGGAAATGTAGGACTACTTTGACAAGGTAAATTGAGGGGTGGCCGACATGGACTTCTGGTATTTTCTGTTATTTATGTTATGATAGTAAGTGATAATAGGTGGCAATACAACTTTTTGTAGAACTTAATTTGGGGCTTTCTTGGAGTAGGATACCTTTATTATTCCAAAATTGGAAAATGTGGGTGCTTGAATCACAATTATGGGACAATATTACATAAAAATATATTTTCTAAATGTGGATACTCAGTTAAAATCAAATGTGCAAATTAGCGGAAGAATTTGATAAGTGTGCATGCATTTAATAATTGTGCATAAAAACAGTTACAGACTATTTACCAAAAAAAAATGGGAAAACTGCATTCAGTAGAGAGGTTAAACTTATGTAGGTATAACCTGAATCCTTTCAGCGGAAATAATTTTTGTTTTATTGAAAAATATTTATTTCATCCAACAAATACTTTAAACTTTATCATTTCCTAGCCTATACGACACCAATAGTATATATTAACTAACTACTTCACTTTCATGTGCCTTGGTGACCTACCTTTGGCTTATTATTTATCGAACAAGGCTGCTTAGTCATTTTACATGTCGGCACAGGGTGTTTAATAAAGCTTAATCAATATGTTAACCCTGTAATGCCAAATGTATCATATTTGACACATACAGTTTCTGAAATGTTTTGCGTCTGACACCTTTTGCATAATTTAATGGTAAAAACTTTGCTCAAAATCCTATTGTACACAATCAGATATGCCTGATAACAGAGGGCAGAAGACTACACAAAAAATAATCTTGACTTATCGCATAGTAATAAATTATTAATATCAAAAATGTATTTCTGTTTTTTCTTTTTACATATTTTGTTAAAAGGCCAAATAAGGATTTCAAACCAAAAAAAAGTAACTTTCTGTTTTGTTTTATTCTTGGATCAGGCTTTAAAGGGTTAAAATGTACTTTTCATTCTAACTAAGATTATGCATGGCATAACATATGTAAAGTGCCTTAAAGCGTTCAGTTGCATTATCTAATATTTGCCTATAAATCAGGTTTTAAAGTGATAAGATCATGTTTATTGACAAAAAAATATTTAAAGTTTGATCACTTTAGTGTATTTTATTAGGCTTTTTCCTTTTATCAGATAAAAAATGTTTTATTTAATTTTATTTAGAATTGGACTTTATACTGTCGACAAATTTTGCTGCCAAACGTTGGCTTAAAAAGCAAGTGACGTAAAAAAAAAAAAATGCATTCCTTAAAAAAAATTAAAAAAAGCAGTGCAATGCTGTGTTTTTGGGTGGTAAAATCACTGTTGAGCAATGCCCTCCCCCTGTGGGGTAGGTATTAGATAGGTTTCAGCTTTGTTTTGATCTTAGGAAGTGCACCTGTTTAATTTATGTTTCCTGAACAGAGGCTGTTTAGGTACTCCCTTTAAAAAAATGTTGACTCTAACTTGACATGTTCTAAGTGGTTTTACAGCGGCAGCCTGGGGGATCCGCTGCTAAATATTTCAGGACAAACTCATTACTGTAAATGGGGCGGCGTGGTAGCCTAGCTGGAGTAGACAAGCAGCAGCAGGAGAGATAGGAAAGTGATGTGTGTGTCTATGTGCGTGTTTATGTGAGTGCAGCAACATTCCTTCCCCTTGTTTTAACAGTGAAGTTGACGTCTCAGGCAGTCTGAGTCTCATTGCTGAGCCCAGTCGTCCCTGTTGCATATCTTTCAAACACGCAGGAGCTCATCCAACATCTGCTTTCTAAAGAGCTAACGACAAGACAGTGGAGACTGGACGATTAAAACTATTGTGCTAATGAGGCCCTGTGTGCTGCCTACCACACTCACCTTCACTTATACTCTCATCCTAAAGATGGATTGGCAGGTCAGGAGGTTGAAAGCAGAAATTATAGACATTCAAACCCACCATCTATGAATCTGTAACCATTTAACCCCAATAAATCAGTGATAATTTGCAAACGGTTAATGAAAAGACATGCATGCACAGAAATGCTCTAAATAACATACTTTATTTTGTTTATATACATTTTTATATCCCTTGAAAGTTTCCTCGTTTTTGACATTACAACAAACTTCAATGTGTTTCTATGGGATTTAAGGTGATAAACCACCTGAAAGTGTTGAAATATATTTGAACTGGGAATAAATGGAAACTAAACAGGAAAGGAGTCTTATATCAGGTCAACCTTTTCTTAATAGTTCAAGCTCAGTGAAATTAGATTTTTCTGTTAATTTCTCTATAAGCATTAATTTTAAGCCTTTCACCACATTCTTGGTTGAATTTAGGTCTGGAGTGTTCGATTTTTGCCAAAAATAGAAATTCTATTTTCTCTTTTTTTTTTTTTTTTAACTTTACAAAACTTTGGAAATTTAAGATAAGATAAGATAAGATAAGATAAGATAAGATAAGATAAGATGAGCTTTATTGATCTCACAGCGGAGAAATTCACTTGTCACATATTGGCATAGAAGTTAAAGAAGGTGCAAACAAGGAGGAAAAAGGTGCATTGAGAATAAACAATATATATTGCAATTTTATACAGTTTTGCTTTGCACTGATCACTCAATTGTTTGACTGCAGGATTTCATGGTCTTGAATGCTTTCTTGTCCGGGGACATTGTAACAGGGCTTTGCCGTTGCATAGAAGAGAGTTACTTTTTACTCACATACATGTAGCTGCAACCGTCTTTACCCTTCTATGTGGCACCAAAATCAAATTTAAGTACATAGCAGCAACCTTAAGGGCTGGAGAGAGAAAGCGGGTGTCTTAATCTCGTAAAATGTTATAAGATTAAAACTTGGTTGCTTCTGTGATTTGGAAATAGAATTTTTCTTCTGTTTGCAAATATGATAAATTGTTCAGCTCTAATCTTAACACATACATGTACTTTAATCTGAACCATTTAATCGTTTCGTAGGCGGCGTGTTCAGAGATGCTTCCTTGCTGTAATTTGGACCTCTGTTTCAATGTCAAGCATTTTGCAGCCTAAATTAGATGTTTTTCAAAGGACTGTCGTGTATCCTTGACAACAAGGACATGTATAACTTGACCAGTTTTCATGTCCTTGTTAAAAAAATAAAAATAAATAAAAGGCAATAAAAACACTAAAAAACAACATCCCTGTATCTCACTGATTAGGCTTTAGCCATGGTGTGCAGGGCTTTCCACCACCCATGGTGTTTTGACATGCAGGCCTAAGTGTTGCCCTACATGCCAAATGTTCTTCATCATATTTTTTTAGTACCCTTATATGGTTGTTGTCCAATATCAAACTAGAGTTTTTATGGCTTTCTTTGAACATTAGCATTTTTTTCCAAAAAGGGCACATTTCTGAAGTGCATGACTCATAGTTTTATTGTCAACATGTTGTCCTGATGGAGCTGTGTATCTCTGCAGCTCTTCCAGAGTTACCACAGCTCTGTCGGCTCTTTTTGCTGCGTCTGTCAGTTCAGGGTTACAGCTATGGCTTGGTAGATTTTCAATTGCACCAGACCTTTTCTATTTTTGATGATTGAGCGTTGCACTGTGAGATGTCAACCCCCCGGGATGTATTTTTATAACCCACCCTTAAATTGCTCTTCAACTTTATCAAAATAGTAAACTTTAAATTCACTGAGTGAAAACTCTTCCCCCTATTCAACCATGCCTGCATTTAGACCCCTTCTCAGACAGTGGCGCGGAGGGAGCGTGATGATGAGGGTAAGCAGTAAGAGAGAAGAAGAGGGGGAGAAATAATAAAGGACAAGCTTAACTGGTGAGGCTGTCAGCGGAGGAAAATAATATTTGTCCAGCTGGACAGGCCTCCCTTTGTGCAGGCTAAATGAATGTTGAGCTTCCTGTCTACCCTGTCAGGGAGAGTGGCGTCGACTGTATGCTGCAGCGAGGAAGCAGGGCTGCGTGCAGGGAGCTGTTTGGAGTTTGACAGGGATTATTAAAATCAGAGCAGATGACGAGGAGAAGGGCGAGAGACGGAGTGTGAGAAAGCCAAATTGACACAGACACTCTCCATTACCTTCCACTTGACTCGTGCTGATGACAGTGTTGATATGAGACCCAGCAGCGCAGCACCGACATGGGATTGGTTGTTAGCGCCAGCGTTAAGCACCATGGGGTAGGAGGGGAGGACCTCACTGCTAGTAGACACCTAAGGAGATGAGTTGTTTATTTGAACTCTTGACTGAGTAGGATCTAACCTCATTGTTTATTTATTTGATGGGGTTATCTGTATTCTCTAACTGTGTTGTCAGTATGTAGAAAGCTTTTGAGACTAAGGTAATGCATTTTGATCAAGAGCTTTCCTACTGAATATGAAGATGCAGGGGGTTAAAAAAAGCCTTTTCTATATGATCTACTGTCTTTGTTTTGTGTGTTGCAAGTAAATTGATTTGTGCAATCTAATAGGACACCTGTTTCAGGAACTATCACATTATCATAGACCACAGGAGCATGGAAGCAGGCCCTACAGACATGTGCATCGCAATAGATTAGAATACCATCGAAAAGTTAATCTCTTTCAGTAATTTAATTCAAAAACTAGAATTTATAGCAAGGCATTTTTTTTCTATAAGGTTGTATGGTCATGACTTTCAGCAAATTAAAACATATTTTTTTCTTTTTTCAATTGAATACACCAAACCAATGAAATGTGAAGGATAAAGAATGTTTTAGTAAAGAATTTCCACATCATGGTCTTCACCACGATGGGAAGGAATGCTGGATTCTAGTCCAACAAAGAGTCATTGTCAGGCACTATGAGGTGTGTTAGATACCAAAGCCCATCACAAAAGAAGCTGGCTTGTCACAGAGTGCAGTATCAAAGTGCAATAATGAAAAGTGAAGTTTACAAAAAATGTTTAGAAAATAAAATAAAAAACAAGAATAGCTGCAGATTTGAGAGTCATTGTTAAACAATTCTCATTCAAGAACTTGAGGGTGTTGGTGCTGCTGAAGTCAGAGCTACGCGCGGATGTACCCAGGATCTGGGTTAAAACTTTTGCATTCCTCAAATAAAGATAATCAGGAGTCTGAGACATCTGAAAATCCTATTTCAATCATTCCTCATTTCAGATGAATGTAAAGTTTTCACTTCATTTAGATCTCAAGGTTCTAGAGTTTGAAGTTAGTTGAGGTCCAGTCTGAAGCTTACAAAGTCGTAGTCAGCTGGTGTTGGTCCAATGTATTTTATAATGTTCAAAGTCAGAGCAGCTGTTTAAACTTTTGGACATTTTATAATTCCAAGCCCCAATGTGTAATTGTCCATCCATCCATCTTCTGCCGCGTAATCCTTGATAGGGTTGCTGTGATGCCGGTGCCTATCTCCAGCAGTCTATGGGCGAGAGGCGGGGTACACTCTGGACAGGTCCTGTCTGTCGCAGGGCAACACAGAGACATACAAAGGCACAAAACCATGCACACACACTGACACCTAAGGACAATTTAGAAAAGACAATTAACCAAACAGTCATGTTTTTGGACTGTGGGAGGAAGCCGGAGTACCCGGAGAGAACCCACACATGCACAGGGAGAACATGCAAACTCCATGCAGAAAGACCCTAGGCCAGGAATAAGCCTAGAATCTCCTTTTTGCAAGGCAAAAGTGCGACCCCCTGCACCAATGTGCATCCCTCTGTAGTTGTTTATTTAAATCAATAACATAGGATATAAAATGCCCTTTTTGTCCCAAAGGGGGGAAATTTGTGCAAAAACAAGTAGACATAAAATCTATCGATAAACCCATACATCTACTGCCGCTTATCCCTAAGAGACACAGGAGGCTGCAGGCATTCCTGAACAGTCTGTGGGGCAAGATGTGATATCATCAGTCCATCATAGGGCAGCACTTAGACATACAACCTTGCACACACACTCTCACACCTATTTTAGCCATTTAGAAGTAACAATCAACCTAACAGTCTTGATTTTTGGACTGTTAGAAAAGGCCAGAGTATGCAGTGTGACCCCAGGCATGCATGAGGACAATATGCAAACTCAATGCAAAAAAAAAAACACCTTGGACCAGGGAATCAAACCCAGCACCTTCATGCTGTGAGGCAACCATGCCCCAAACTGCATGACCGTGCAACATACATTTAAACTGAATCTATTAAAATAATGAATAATATGAAAATGTACAATGATTTAAAAGTTAAATTGTAAGTGGAAGAAAAAATAACCCTCCTAAAGAAAAAAAAATGCTAATAGTGTGCAGGTATTATTAAGAAAAATCATATATGGGAAGAAAAATTTAAGAAAATAAACAAAAGCCAGTTATCAGAACAACGTGATAAACTGTGCAGTAAACATGGAAGCAAAAGACACATTTCCTGATTATGTAAAAAACTGTGCAAACAATCAGTAACATCAGGAACTTTCTGTTGAGAGACACAGTCAGGCAAATAAAACTGAAAATGAACTCTTGCTCAGTTCAAGAGCTTTTTTGGGAGCGGTGAAGATTATAAAGTCTAACAGTAGGAAGGATCTGCATAGGCCCTTTTTTGTGCACTTCTGATGCAACGGACTGTTACTGAATGCTTGATTGTCCAACAATCTAGCTCAAACTAAAGCTCATAACCTTTAGAGTATCGTTAAGAAGGAAATGAGAGACATTAAAGCCAAGGAAACAGCCACTATTAAAACAACCAGAGCCTCCCTGACTCATAAGCTGAATTACCCTGTATTAATGCAGTTGTTCATGCAAAAGGACCCCAAACCCGTCATGATTCACATCTGCCCTGTGTTTATATTAGATGCATCTACCAGTGTTCATTGTACTTTCCTTTCATCTCAGTTATATCTAGTTTCCCGTTTGTTGTCCTTCCTTTGTCTAGTCACCTGTTCTCCTATCCTGGTTTCTGAGTTCCCTCCATAATTGCAAATCTATCCTTCTCCCATTCAAATATTTCCAGTCAACATCCATCTGCTGAAGCCCTTCTTATTCCTTGCAATCAAAGATCAGAGGTCATCTCTTAAAAGCATATTAAAAAGTAAATTCGCAATTTCCAGCATATTAAATCATAAAAATAATCTAAATAAACAAACACTTTTTAAAAATATTTATTATTAATTTAAAATGGGTCACTCCTTGTGTCACCAGTCTATATTATAGCTCATATATAGAGCTACTTATAGTTTTTTTTTTTTTTTTTGTCCTCTTCACGATGCGGCTGAGTTCATTAAGTTGTTAATACGGTCTAGATACTGGCAAACCTACTTCTATATAATTCTTTGTGCATTTTTATCTGTTGCTTATGAAAGTGGTAGTTCTAAGGCTCTAAAGCCAACTCTGTATCTGTGGGTTTTTACAGGGCATCATGGAATGGCCGGGAGAATTTCCTGACGACCACGCCTTTGTGGAGTTTCTAGTTCCAGGTGTTTCCAGTGATGCAGACTTTGAACAGTTTCTAAAAGACACAGAAGAGAAACTCAGCCTCAATGCCAGCAGGTAAGTCTATTTTTGTTCTCTCTTTTTTTCTTTTTCTTAGCAAGGAAAGGGCTGGAGCCTACATCTCATTGCAAACTTTATCCAGATTTATTTTGTTTTTTTTTTGCGGGGGGGATGGGAGGGGACTCTTTAAGTTTATTTAAGTATCCCTTTTCTTGCTATTCTACTGTGTTTATCACATTAAAATAGTGGTCTGGGTTGTAATTTTTAGGAGTTTGCCTGTGTTCGAATGTCTGCCCTAACCCCTACATAGAGAATTTTATAGGTCTTACGCCATTTTATATCAGTGCCCAAATGTCTAGTGCATGAAATAGAAGTGGAGTCAAAATTTCCCACAAGAAACCTTAAAAACTAGTATACATTTTCAGTCACTAGATGAGCAAATATATCCTAGAAGAATTTGAAAAAGCACTTCTCACAAACACCATCTTTTTAGCGGGGCAAGAGAGAAAAAGATGGCGCAGGGAACCCCAGTCACATGACCAAAGGGGAGAGAAAAGTCCAAACAGTCTGTTTACCGAGTTCACCATAAAGTCCACTATATAGTCCCCACTCCATGGAGTGATTGGGTTAGGAGTTAGGCTGGATGTTCTGACACAGCCAGTGTGTTATTAAGGCATTTCTCTTGCCCAGTGATAAAACCTTCCATTTCTCCTGTGCATCAGGAGAATTACAAAAACATAATTGTTGAACAGTGATTTATTTCAACAAAACATAAATGTACTCTATCCTTTTTCTAATTGTTAGAAGCAATAAGCCAGTTGTCCTTTCTGTAAATTGTATTTGAACAAATTGAGATCATGTGGTCAGATTCAGATCCATTGCAATTGAATCCGATTTAAAGTGGATAGTATTATATATTTTATTCAGTATATTTTTATTCATTACCACTCTACAAGTTCTTTTTTTTTATTTAAAAATTTGAATGGCAAAGTTGTAGCTTTGACCTTTAGGGTTGCAATGTATAGGAAGGCTGGCATAGAAACACTAAGCCAGGGGTGCTATCTGTCTATGAAACAACTCCAAGTAAACTGTTACAACGTTTTGGATAATGTAGCAATGGAGAAAAGCAAGAGAAACTAAAACCATTGCTGATGGTCAGTAGGTTTCCTAGCAGCTCAGAGGCATGGGTTAACTTTACTGTTAGTCCAGTCATAAGCTTCACACCATACATTTTGTTGCCTTTTATACTTCTCATTCAGCTTCAGTGCTTTTTTGCACTTATCATTAACACTCAACAAAAACAAATGTATATTTAACATTTGGCAGAAGAAGAATTCACAGGAGTTCGGTTTCTCACCTCAATGGTTAGACTTTTCTGTTTATTAACTTCCTCTGTAGTTTTTGCTTAAATTCAACTTTAGAGATAAAAATTAATTTTAACGAGTTGTTTCTAAAAGGCTTGTTTTTTTTTTTCTCCCCAAAATCAATACATGCACATTGAAAAGGTAAAGAGCTTAACAACAGATGAAGGTTCCTTCGTTTGGAGCTGTTAAACAAAGATCCTGTCATGAGACCCACTCCTGTGTTTTTATTCATTTTATGGCGTTTCTAATACCATACATACTGTATGAATAAAAGGTTTGTATTGCTTCAGGTAAACTAATTATAAAATTAATAATTTCAGGTCGTCTTTGTGAGGACAAAAAAAAAAACATATTTGTCTGTATTTTTTTGGCAGATGCAGAGTTTAAGAGTGCAAATAGATTGATAATGAGTGAGCTGTGGGGACACTGGAGCAAAAGGAGAAATCTATATTTCAGGCCTTTTATCGTTTGTAAGGTGGTGAGGCTGAGGGCAGATGATGAAGGACAGGCTAAATGTAGCAAGTGAACAAAGCCTCACTCTGGCACCATTAGTGCCTGGGACTCATCCCTTCTTCGCTTTCCCTCACTGTCACCCTCCCCTTCTCTCTTTTTCTTTCCTTCCTCCTTCTAAATGGGAACATAATAATTGAAGATTCCACATCTTGAAACGAAAACCCTTGGGTAGGTAATTCAAGGCTTATTACTGAAGGCCGAGCCATTTTTCTGCCTTCTAAGCATTAAAGGGTTATTTTGTGTTCCTGCAGATGGGAGAGGGATAACCATTATGAGAACAAAGCATTCAGATAATGGAGAATGGGGCTAAAAATAAGGCAATCCTCCCCTCGCCGTGGGGTACCACTGGTCAGTGTCTTCGTTCGACTACAACTAACTTCTTCCTAGACTATTTCAAGCAACCCGTTTTTTTCTGTTAAATAAAATCTGTTGAATTAAATCTTCAGAGCTTTCTCTCGTCCCTCAACCAACTCTTGTACTCACACCAATAGATCTATGCAGGCTTCAGTGGCTCACTTGCCTCCTGCCTTTGCTGACTTATCAGTGTTTGGGAAAAATCACAGAAGTGGAGGAGAGTAAAAGGCAGACCAAGGGATGATGCAGCTTGAGTCACCAACACAGGAGAACTTAAATCTGTTTAGGGGTGAGAGTGAATGGCCCGTTACCCTGCTCTCAGATGTCATAGATCTGCCTGCAAGCTGCTGCCTAATTGAATGAGATTAAGATGGGCTGACAAAGAACCTGGTGCCTCCAAATTGAAAAGTTGTAATCCATTAATCCTCATCAGGTGGGATGGAGCAAGGGTAGGAGGGAGTGGAGCTGGACGAGGTGGGCCACCAGGAAACAGCCTTTAATGAAGTGTCAGTGCAGTCATGGAGGCTAAAGACAAGCCTCTAGTTTCACCTTGGCAAGGCAAATGGCTGTAAGTGGTTGATGGCCGGTTTTTAAAAAGGATGTTTTGATTAAACTTGTTCTGGTTCTGCTTCTGGATGGGAAATTAAAGCCAAGAAAACGAAAGACTTGCTAAGATTTAACTGCATGCAAAGCTCATTTTCTGTTAATATTGACAATGATCTGGAGTTCTTGCAGTGTGCAAATGACACGTGTGTTGAGTCATTGTATCAGCCGTATCAGCTCTGTGGTATCACTGACTGGACTTGGGTGGCTTAGGGCACTAAGTGGCTGGGCCAATACGGGATATGTTTTCAGCTTGTTCATTCAAGCCCATTCGGTCCATTTCCCCTCAGAGAATGGAGGCCTTTGACAGAGGAGCTATCTAGTTTTCAGGTGGCTGCTTTGGCACTGATTGGAACACAGGATTATTTGAAAAAGAGCTTCCTGTCCCTTCTTGTCTCCAACTCCCAATCTATGAAGGCAGCCATCGAGTAGCGGAGCTCCAGATAGACAACCCCACAGCAGGCCACCCACACTAAATTAATTCTGACAAGGAACTTAAGATAACGTCAAAGCGCTGACTAATCGCAGGATTGGGTTTCTGTAAGTCAGGGAGCTGTGAAATGGGCCATCATATCTAATAAAAGACCTCCAGTTGCTTCCTCTTTTTTTCGGCACTGGGGACAAATTGAGAGGGGGAACACACTTGTGGCGTCAACTGTCTCCATAAACTGATCTGGAACACACATTTTATTCCATTAGTTAAATTCGAAGTCCATATGTGTTTGTGTAAGGTGATAGATAGATTGTCAAGAGTCCTGAAGAGTTGTTTCCCCCTGGTTTCCTCTTGCTCTTTTCTCATTTCCCTGGTCTTTTGTTCAGTTCTCTTCTGGTGGTTTTGCCATTAGGGCTTTGTCCTTTGTTATATCTACACAGAAAGCTGAATGGTTTTATTTCTTGGTTGTGTTTCCTACTGATTCTTTACCATCTTCTGTTCCCCATTTCTTTCTGTATTATTCCCCTGGCATCTCAGCGTGGTGAAAGTCATCAAGCTGGGAGCTAATCCTGGCAAGTTGATTAGGCTGCCAGTAGCATTCATGCCAGTGGGCAAAAGGTCACTATGTTGTAGAGAACTGGATGAACTTCTTGACTCAGACCATCCAAAATGGCTTTATAACTTACGGCACAAAGCACTAAGGAGGGGTAATTGAAAGGTGAGAGTAAAGAAAAGAGAATTAAGTCAGGAGGAGATTCTAGAGGTGAGAAAAGAAGGATGGGAAATGGAGAGTGAAAAGCCTGGGATTGAAATTGTGTCTGAAGATAGCGGTTCTGTAGTCATTGGAGCGCATTGTTTTAGTAAGTGAAGACAATGGTGAGATGTTGGAGAGCTCTATGCTTTATGAATGCTTAGCATCATGTGGTTTAAACAGAGTATTCTTTGTGATATTTTCTTATTTTATTTTTTTTAAAGAGAGACTTTTTTTTTTACAAACTATTTCATTACTCGGAGAATCTATAACATATGACGACTGACAGGAGAAGTCAATAATAATGGTTATTACCAACTTCTGTTCAAGGATGGTATATATTTAAAGGTATTGTTGAGAATGTTCTTTTTCCGGGTGGATCTTCAAAATAAGTGATCAATCATTCTGGTGATATGTTTTCGTAAGGCCAACATGCTCATCCCCATTTTAACTTACCGATTGAGAGTCTGACATAGTGGAAAAATTGCAAATCTTGTTGAGTGATGCAAACAGCAACTCTCAAACAGAGTGTGCATGAGGAGAAATGGGCTTGTGCATGCTATTGCACAAGTTTAATAGACGTTGACTCTCGGGAGTAGGTACAGGGTTGTGCATTTGAATTTTTTTTAAAGTGGAGAGGGCGGGTCTTCTAAAAAAACTTTCTTGAAAAATCCTCTACTATCCCTTTAAGCAGCGACAAAACATAATTTTTCAATATTAAAATGTTATACATATATATATAATATATATATAAAAGCATGATAATGCAAAAGTATAGATTGAAGAGTGTATGACTAAAGACCAGTGTTCCTGGTCCCCTGTTGTCTGCATCTACAGTATAACAAGGTCCAGGAATGTATGGATGATAACCTGTGACATTGTAATGAACATCCAAGCTTCATCGATGCAGGTGGGGATTGAAAACTGACCAGTGTGGGTTAATTCAAGAGACAAAACAGTAGCTCAGATTGCTGATATTGTTTAAACAGGTTGTGATTGACAGTTGCAATTTCCTCAGATCTCTCTGTGGTATGGTACAGCATAGCTGGAAAGCAGTTGGGATGCCCATGCTGACCAGAAAGAGGTTTTGTTTTACACCAGGTGCATGTGTGTCACCTGAGGAAGATGTGGCAGCTGCTCAGATTATGGCCGGTCAGTGGATGCTTTTGCAAATGTCCTGGGAAAGCTTGGGTTCTGCCATTCTTGAAGATCATTCTTTGACGCACACTAACTATCTGAAAACATTTTCCCTGACGATCTACAACCTTGCTGCTTGCTTTCAAGAACAGTTCTTAAATAGAACAAGTTTGAGGTCTTGACACGTTTCTGGATAAAGAAGTTCAGTTCATGGAGGCCCCACTTCACAAATGTCGACAGGTTTTCTTGTTGACAAACTACCACAGTGCACCTTAAAAGTAATGCAGGTCTGTTTCTTAAGGGAGCAGGGATTTTTAATTTAATATTCTATAATCATCAAGGATTCACTGATTGGCTTGAATTGGCCTACTTTCTTTGTCAAGCTCTTTTAAAGATGTCCAAGTAGATTTGAATTCCTTAAAAAGTCTATTTCAACACTCTTTGTGATACTTTAACATGTTTTCATATTGTTTTTCTTACGTAAACCTTACTTTATTAACACAATCTATTGTCTTTCTAATTTTAAAGTGTACCTCATAAAGGTATATAAATATTTCACAAACCACAAAATCAGTCAGTTGGTTATTGGAAAAAAAAAAGGAAGGAGGTTTCTTAAAATGAATTCTTCACTGTTGAATAAATGTTTTCAAATTAAATGTTTGATTGCGTGAATATAGCAGAAATTACTTTCAAGCAATAAAAGATTTATTTTTGTTTTAAATAACCCAAATTAATTTGAAACTAATGTGTTTAGTAAGTACCAAAGAAGGTCCCTAGATATCAATTCCGCCAAACAACTTTGTGGGAAGAGTTAAGTTAACAGCCTAGTGTCTGTTTTCCTCTTTAATGAACTTCAGAGAGTGGGTAAAAAGTGAGCTACAGATGGGAGCCCATTTGAAACCTGCTGTCTATGTAAAGTCCTGGGGTGGAACCCTGAATGAACATCCATGTTTTATGACTTACTATAAACACACATATAGCGTTCTGTTCAGTCATCCAATTTAAGGCAATCTTCCATCAGAGGACCTGGCAAATAACAGAAGTCTAATCAGAAATCTTAGTCAACTGATTCAGTTCTTGTATTTGCTGCAGCTTTTATCTTTTTTCTTCTGACAAAACACATTTACAATATGCTCCAGTAGATTTTCTTTTGCATCAATTTCAGTTCAAAACAGCAAAGATGATTTGTTATATATTTCTTTAAAGTTTAAAAAAGATGTTGTCAGCAATTAATCCTGATATTTGTTGGGATGAAATGTATTGCTCTCACTTTTCATGCACAGGGTAGTTTCCTGTACAATATGTATAAGGTGATTGGTGGTTTGCAAAGGTTGAGTAAAAAGCAGTTTAACAGCATCAAATTACATAAAATAAACTCTGTATAAGCAAAGTTTATGTCATTCAGCGAGAGTGGAACATGAGAATAAAACAAGATGCATCATCTGGTCTGCCTAAAGAAGAGAAATCAGGGCAGAGTGACAAGAAGGCAGTTACCACAAGACAGAGGAATGTCATTAGGCAGCCTTCAGTCTAGAGGATATCAACTTGGAACAGTCTATAACATTTTATCCCCTTGCGTTTTTCTCTCCCCCCTCTGAAATGAAAGTGTGTCAGATTGAACGGTTATTTAATGAGCTGCTATTGCGGGACATCTGGATCCGTTCATGGCTTGGGAGCAAGCAGGAGGCAGTTTATAGACCTGCGATAGGAGATGAGCTGTTTGATGGCAGACGGGCTTTTTGGCTTTGCATTATCTATGCTAACACATAAAGAGTCTGACACAGAGATTAGCAGAAAACCAGCTTGTATGCAGGTAATTTTTTTTACTTTGATTTTGCTATTGATAATATGTATAAATCACTGATTAATTTATTTTTCCTGACAAATACAATGTCTAATGCCTGTGGGATGGTAGATTCAATTAAATTAAAGAGAAATAGCCTTTTATGGATTTTCCTAATTATATTTCCCTATTGATTTTAGTTCATCAACACATGCAGTATTTAATGAATCATTTGAGCCCTGGTGTCATGCTCTGCTATATGCACTCATCTCTGGAGCTTTGTGTACATCTACGCCTGTCAATGAGCAGCCATGTGTGCACAGAATAGGAACCCTCACCCCTAAAACACTATTGTAATTATGCAGGTATGCCGACGTATGCAAGCACACACTCTGACACTGCCTTGGATTCAAATATATAAGCATCGATTTGCATGGAAATGACTGAACATGTTGAGCCCAAAGATGTCATTTCTAATCTGTCATATTAAGGGGGAACCGAATAGCTGGTGCCGTCTGTTAACATCAAAAGAGCGGTGTTTCTATGTATGTGTGAGTGTGGAGGGAAGACATGAAAAAGCAAAAAGTGTGTATCTCAGACGCCTGCCGATGCCTGTAATGCCACTTCACTCAAGATGCTTAGCTCACACTCACACATTGATATATTGTTGTCTGTGTTCATTACTGCTGATGTGTCTGTATCTGTCTTCTCACAGTGCAGAAGCTGAATGAGAGGGGGAAGGACCTGAGTGTGATGCTGTGTGTACGTCAGAGTCTCTGTTTCTGCTTCAGTTGTGCTTGGTTCTCTTCCTCTGCATTTCTGCTGAAGCAGTGCTTTCCTTATTTCATTGAGTTGCACTTGAACGACATATTGGGGAAACAATTGTTCCCAGTGTTGCACAAATAAGCAGGACTGGGAGTTTAGATTGGAACTGGAAGCCATGGGAATATAGATAATTATATGAATAATCGAAGTAACATTGCCTTGCAAAAGCATTGCTCACTGTTTAACCTTTCACATTTTGTCAGGTTACAGGCTTCAGTGTATTTTACTGTATTTTCATTTAAAGTTTGTAAAAGGAGTCATCCTGTGTACAACTTTGAGATAAGACACAACAAGCCTACCAAGATGCAGTTATTCACCTAGAGGCGCATTAACTGGCAAAAGAGACGAAAAACAATGACAAATACTCACAGCTGATGTGTGAGAATCTGCACTGCGTTTTGTTGGTCAGTAATATAAAAACCCTGAGGAATGCACTGGATTATGTTGTTTAAATAATAGCGAAATTAATACATTTAGTGTTGGAATGTTTATATAACCAAACAGTTCTGCATCCCTTTCTGTTCAACACTCAACAAACATGTCAAACACTCATCAGATAAGTCCAATTTGACATGCAATGTCTTTAGATAATATTCCACTGGAAGAGTTTGAATCCTTTATCATCTGTCTAATTACACAGCTTCTTGTTTTTAAGCATTGAACAACAGCTAAAGGAGCTTCAGGCCAAAATGGGAGACTCCAGAACCGGGGATCGTCCTGCCAGTCCCACAGAGGTCCTACAGTGGTTCAACACGAGAGCACAAAACAGCCTGAAGCCTCTTTCTGCAGACCTTTTAGACTTCTTCAGAGCTCTGGTAATGCATTAGGTCAAAGGTCAGCTTTGCTTTCAAACCAAAGAGCTATTATTGCCTTTGTTGTTTACAACTTCAAGAAATATTGAATTCTATTAGTATGTGACATAGAAATATTTAGGATCTTAAAGCAGAATAAAACGTTTATCTTTTACGAGGGGGGGGGCACTTTTTTGTGGACTAAGGCCAGTTAGGTGGGTGCTTTTTAATATTTATAAAAGAAAAAAAGAATAGTCTGGAATAAATCATATAATTTGCAGCTGAGCATTAATGAATTAATCTTCAGTACTTTTTTTTTTTTCACATGAAGACAATCAGAGGCTCAGCTACACCCTCTCCCTTCTCTTTCTGTAATAAGCAATGTAGATAGTAAAACACCTCATGTGGCCTTGGAGCAGCAGTTTCGAGCTCTCTGAATTAGGTCAATTAAAGAAATGGATAACTGGAATTATTATCACCAAAATAGATCCAACTCATCAATAGTAAAACTAAACTAAGTGTCTTTTTTATGATAATTCATAATAATACATTAAACTGAAAATATATGTAATTATATCACCAATCTAACGCATGTAGAGTGCACAAATGTCCCCAAATCCATCAGTATGATTTTAGATTTATTTTGATAGATCTGAAAATTGAGTGTTTTGTGTATTTGTATTCAGCTGCTTTACTTTAATTCACCTTCATACAATCCAGTGCAACATTGTAGCTTCAAATTTTACCCTCATAGATTTTAACAAGCTCTTCACATTTGACACCAACACTGCATATTACGTTATGTCATCAGATCAACTTCTTCATGTCCACATATATCTCTGCTCTTCACTTGTTTAGAAACATTACCTTCAATCGGAAGAAGAGGGCAAAGAAGAAGTGACCCTTCAGCTTCTGCTGAATCTCTCTGCCCGGTGTGGGGTCTGTTTTCCCTGTTCATCTTCATCTGCTATGTCTTCCTCTCATCACCCTCATCTCCCTGGCTCCTCTGTCCACATGACACACACAGTCAAAGATGACCCTTCATTAGAGGTAATGCGCTATTTCTCATTCAGTTCAGTGTTTTTTCCTTGTCAGGTTGATGAATTTCATTCCTAATTTAACTGCTAAGTGTTCTGAAATGAGGGTTTAATCAGCAGTCTCTGTTTTTCTGCTCTTCTACCTGAGGTTGTTATAACATAAATATTTCCGACATCTTTTTACTCGCCTTTTAGATCCACGTGGCATGGGATACTGTACGTCTTCAGCTGCGACGTTTCCTGGTGGACCGGCTGTCTTACTGCACCTCAGAACATTCTGGTTCCACTCCAGTGTCCCCATTGACCATCCATGAACGGGTCCACTGCTTACAGCAGCTGTTTTTCCTCTATCCAGAATGTGAAGTGCTCACAGATTATCAGGTGCAATTTCAGTCGATTCTGTATTTTGAACCGCTTCATAAATCCTACTATAGTAGCATGTTTAATATACAGCATTTTAAATCTGATTATATGCTCAGGCCCTGAAACGGCAGTATGTGGTGAATATTCTGCACTCAAGCATGAGCTCCAGCCCAGGGGGTGAGACCGGCTTTGATAGACTGGTGGCAGGTTTTTACAATGCGGTCCCGCATGTGACCCGAGCCCTTACAGAGGAACTCCAGGTCCTTTCAAGAGTAGCGGAGCCCCAAGTCGTCCTTGGCTTTTTAAACATAGCTTACTTTGGTGCTGTTACCCAGGAGCTTGGCTCCCAGATGGAGAGAGAACATGAAACTGCCCAAAGAGACAACACGGCACTAAGCAGCAAGATCAAAAAATACTCTGCAAGGTCCAGAGCAACAGTGGGTGAGTGCTTCACTTTTTATATCTTGTTTCATCCTATTTTCTGCACAGTTTTGTGGCTTCTCTTTTATTCTGATTCACTTTCCTCCTTTGATTTCTACTCTCAATACTCCCATTTAATTTTAATTGACCAAATAAAGGTGAGGTTCTTTCTCTTCCTCTTTCCTTTAACTTTACTCTTAAACTACATTGTGTAAGCTAAAGCCAACTTCTTTAGTGTGACATCAAATTGGGATAATCAACCTGTGGTGGTTCTAAATGATAAGGCAGCCATGTGTAGAGGTCTTTCACTTGTCTGCATTGTTGGCCATGGTTTCTCTCATCTTGCTCTTGACAAAACACATTGACTGTGTGGTTGAGTTCAGGCTAATGACACCATGGCCAATAAACTAGGTACTGGTGCATCCTTTTATAAGTCTAACTATGATGGTTAAGAGTTGGTCTCTGGTTTAGGAGTAGCTTAGCATAGAATTTGAAAGCTGTAACCCATGGGATGGATACATCTGTTCATGGTAGCTCTTGTACTACTGTCTCCAGTTTCAGTCGACACCTCAGTGGTGAATGTCTGAATCCCAAACTGCTCCCTAAGTACTAACCCTTAACTATGAAGTGTAACTCCCAGTGAAGTCATACTCTGTGGAGGGCGCCAGGATTTTACGTCGGGGTTATAAACATGAATGAGACAGCTCTTCCCTTCAGTGGAAAGGGAAAGCATTTGTTCCTATAGAAAAATAGTTATGCTGTAACTCTTTGGCGCATGTTGACATAATATCCAACATTTGCCATTTTCTTTAAAATAAATCTATTTATCAAATAAGACTATTTCAAAGAGGACCTTTCATTTAGGGATTAATTACACTTTTTTTCTTTTTCCTAAAACTGTTATTTTCTGTCAGGATGATGAAGATGCAGCAAACCAGCAGAACTTACATTTGAATGCACGTGTTTCCTCCGACACTAGTTCGCTGTTACACTGTACTGCACTCCACTGATGCAGAATCTCTGTTTAAGGGCTGAACGGTCCACTAGCCATACCCAGTATGTGGTTTGGGATGGCACTTTATGTGGTGGACCCTTCATGGGAACTCGCAAACAGAGGGTTAGTGTTTAGGGGCTGGTTTGGGATTGGGCAAATTTCCTACAGGTCTTGAACGGCCTTCCTCTTACAGTCCTCTCTAGGCTACTGCTATCACTGCTGCTTCTGCACCTTTTCCTACCACACATTTTTCTTGCATTCAAATTTCCATTTATGTGCTTATGTATAGCTCCCTGTGAACAGCCAACTTCTTCAACAATGACCTTTAGTGGATTACCCATGTTAGAGGGGTTTTAGTGACTGTTTGCTGGACCACTATCAAGTTGGCAGCCATGATTTTATAGGCCCTAACTGGACACTTTTTTCTATGCGTTTTTCTTTTTGAATGGAATTTATTAAAGAAAGAAACATTCAATCCTGCTTAAATGTTTTAAGATACATCTGTATTCTCCTCTAATGCAGAAGGAGTTCTCAGTGATGTAGCGTTTGTTGATGGAGATAACAGAGAGGAGCAGGGACCCTCATACACCATGTCACTTCTGATCCGTCATCCCTTCACATTCTCTTTGTTTGCTTCATATTGGCCTATTTACAACTTGCTGAGAGTAAAGATTCGCGATAAATAAAAAAAAGTCTGCGAGCCATTGTTTACTTTTTCAAAATGGTACACATGCCAGCTTCCCAGAGGAATGCGGAGAGGAGTGCTTTTGCATCTGCCATTCTTCGATAAACACACCACCAGCCTCTCTACTTTTTTTTTCTTCTTTTTCTTTTTTACCTCATCCCTTCCCTCCCTACCTCTCTTCCCATTTTCTCTTCTCTGGTTTTTACTTTCCCTCTCCTTAAACGTGAGATGAGAGGAGGCAGCCGGGATAATTGGCCATGCGTCAGTTGGGCTGTTTGATCACGTAACGCGGCGGAGGCTACACACCTACGTGCCGTTCAACAAACCGTCAAATGTAGCACCGGAGGCAGAACACGGCTCCAAAGGGAGCGAGGGACCCGTGCTGTGTAATGATGGTAAAATGGAGCAGTTTTGCCTGTGCTGCTTTTACTTATGTGTTTGTGTTTGTGCGTGTGTCTCTGTGTGTGCGCAACACAGCTACAACTGGGATTACATTTTTGTGTTGTTCATGTTTAAAGTCTCCTCTAAAAAAAAAAAAAAAAACTTAAGAGCCACTCCAAATGCCCGTGGCTCTCTAAAAAGCCAGTGCTGGAACATTAATGCATAATCTGCTTTTACACTCTATTGTCTGTATACTGTATGCAACGCACATAATTGTCAAGACAATTACGACAGTGTCAAAGAAAGTAATTCTCTTTTCATAAGCCTCCAACGACTCCTTAGATCCATCCCTCCGCTCCTGCTGTGTTATTGTTTATTTGTGAAGTAAAGGAAGGCGGTAGGTATATTTTGATGAGAGCTATGCTGGGGGGTGGGGTGGGGGGGGATAACTCTGAGGGCTCCCGGGGGAGCTGCGCTGTCTGTAGCATCAGCCACTGTCAAACCACTGAACCATTTAACAGCTTTCACAGCTAGATCTGCCTCCTCTTTTAACCCCACTGACACAAAGGCAGGCTCTGACTTTGTACCTAGACAGATGTGAGGAGTCCCAACACCCCACCCTCCACCACCTCCTTCCTTATTTTTCCTTTCACTCCATCCATACATACTTCCTCTTCCTTTTTTTCTCATTTCTCTGCACTTCTCTAAGTGAACCGGAGCGAACAGAATGGCTGTGCTCGACAGGTTGGTCAGGAACGGGCTTTAGACTTTAACACACACTTCAATAAGTTCAGTGGAGATATGAAGGTGGTCCAAGTCTCCATGTATGTGTCTTTCTGAGAAGTTTTAAATGTAGGTCCTATTTTTTTTAAATTATCCATATTATGACAGTTTTGTATATTGTGATTGGTGAGTAAAAGTTGTAGATGGAAAAATAAGTGTCTTTACCGTTCTATTTAATCCAATTTTATGTAAAGAAAGTTCAATAAGCCAATGGGATCTGCTTAGTACAGATATTTTTTTATTAAATCCAGACTGCAGGTAGGTAAAATGGTGCGTGTTGTCTGTTGCTGCTAGCACAGACTCTTAAACAGAACAAAATGAACAACCCAGTTTTTGTTGTTTTTCCAATGCAATCTTGGGACAAAATCAATTAACTAATGTCCAACAATAAAACCGTGAAACAAGATCATCAAACTCATTGACATTTACATGTATACAAAGTATAATTTTTCTATCTTACCAGATGTTACTTCATCTTATGGAAAAGCTTTAGGGAAGTCTGAATTGATCCAGACTTTAAAAAGCCATTTAATAAAGCCTTGTTAAAGATTTTTGAGGGTTAAACAAAGGAAGAAGGCTTAGCACTTATTAAAACTGATATAGTTACGTAGAGATGTCTAATATTAAACTTGGTGAATATCTCCAATTGTTGAATTGGCCACAGGTGGGTTACATCCTGCACTGGTCGCAGGTTTTTTGTTTAGTTTTATTGATTGTAGGAAGAAAACTAAGGTATTCAGAGGCCTGAATGCTTATTTCGTGCTGTAAAACCCAGGACCACTTATCAGTGGAAGACATGATGCTTAACAAAGCCTTAACCGTGTAGCCCCACAGTTTTCTCTAACTTTGTTAATGTTTTTACCATAAACCGCTCCTAATTAAAATGTGAGCAATTTCATTAATGATTTAAAGTGTATAAGGTTAAGTAGGTAGATAGGTAGAAAAAGTGCTAAAGAAAAAGTGCTGCCGAATGTTAATAATTTGTTTTAACGGGTAAAAAAAAATCAATTACTTCTCACTTTGATCCAGTATAGGAATGCACTGCTGGGTTTGACTTTTTTCGAGTTTCCGATGCCAGTTTGCGTGTGCATGGGTGTATTTGTGTGCGTGCCTACTAATTGCTGACTTATATTGAAAATTGTGTGATCAAGCCTCATTTAATACCTCCCTTTTGAAAATGCACCATTAGATTTCCATATGGTATTAGTAATTTACATGTGTATGCCTAGCAGATCCCTGTTTTTGTGAGACTTCAAAAGCTCTCACATCAGCTTCTCTGCATCCATTCTTTCCCCCCCGCCCTCCCAAACAATCGACCACGGGGTTAAAGCCGAAGTCGAGAAATTCTGCTGTACCATATTTTGATACCACTGATTTAAATTCCAGCTACACTAATTTCCCCACATGACGTTGGCAACCGCTTCATATAGATAAAAAAACAAGAAAAAGGAACTCAGTTAGAACATGTATTGCAAGTGCTTTCTCCACCGCTGCGCTCCCTCCCACCTCCTCGCCCTTTCAGACTCTTTGAACTCTTTCTCAGAGACAGCACCACAGCCTATTCAACAGGGAGAGAGGTTCTGTAGTGACGCGAGATAGCTCGGCTGAGGCACCGACTGGCATTGGAGGTGCTTATGGGGATTGAGGCTACTTGGGAATGGCGTTTGTTAATATTTAATAAGAGCAGCTCCTCACTAGATCATATCTCTGCCTGAGTTTATACACACTGTCAGGCAAGGACGTGCACCCGCATACAGCCACATAATTATGGTCTGGGGGTGTTTGTGTGTGTGTGTCACTGTGTAGCTGTTTGTGTGATGCCTATGAAAGGTGTTTTTTTTGTGTTTTTTTTCTCCCCAATGCAGCTTTCTTGCTGCATTTTCAAATTATTAGGAGTTCTTGTTTAGAAGAAAAAGTTTCCACAAAAAAAAAACCCTGTGTTTACTAGTCACAAAGAGAAAAGCTGTGTCATTTATCCGTGCCTGTGTTCATATGCATGTCTTTGTCAGCAGTCATTTTCTCTAAATCATGCCTCCAGTGAAATCACGGAACAAGATTACGTTTTGCGGGCCTCGAGAATGTGTATAATGTGTTTCATTTATTTGCTTTTTTTTTTGCCCATATTTTCTGAGTGGCCACAATGGCTTTTGTGTATCGCTCTTGAGCAGCTCAAGGATA